ATCAACACCCCCAATGGGAGTCAAACTGTGACAGTGCATCATGTGAGCTAGACACGTTAAACACTCGGCCGCATAGCCTCGAGTGGCCTTGTGTCACAAACTAGATATGTATTCCAAGGAAAGCCACGCCTTTTCCTATACGCATTCTTTGGTGGGCATGAAGTAGGTGGTAGCTTCGAAACTGCTTTTATACACAAAATATTGTAAACTTCCCTGAATAGATATAAGTATGTTCTAATATTTAACAAATTTATTCAATAATAATCCATGATCCTAAATATAACTTTTTGAGGCTCAATAATGCGCCCATTTTATAGTTGCTTCATATAATTATTTCTTTGTAGTGGTCCTTATAAAAATACTAGATGAATTGTCTACTAATTTGTATTTTTCTTCAAAAATCTGTCGATTTTCCAGTTGTCTAATAATCTTAACGCCTTGTTCTCGATTTTATTTCCAAAAGTCAATTCGAAAAAATTTTTGGGTTGGTTTTATCGGGACATCTTGGCATCCATAACAGTCCTTTTTGGGTTCTGGTGTGCTATCCTTATGACGTTGCTGGTACGACTGTCATTCAGTCTAGCCAAAAGGCCTGGTTTTAATAATCGCCAATAATCTAGTTTATTACACTTATAATTTTAAGCTCTTTTGTTGTGAATTGATTTAATTGAATTTTATTTAATTTTGCTATTTTCTATAGGGAAATGTAACAGTTGCTTGTCTCCTAGCGATGCGACGCCTTCAGCGTTTTGGCTTCCTTCCAGTAGAACCGGATCTTTTCTTTCATTTTGCAAAATCAGGACGTTATTATGATATCCGATCTGCAGCGCTCGAGTGCCTTGTAGACTATGTTCGTGGTGAACGCGATCAGAGAGCATTAGACTGGATATTTGAGGAAATCATCGAAAATACTGAAGAGGTGGCTCGGCTGCGCTATGAAACTGTTCGTATTCTCATTAAAGTACCACCTTTTCAGCGGGGTGAAACAGGAAGTCGTTTAGATACTACCAGGTTGGTTGAGCGTCTTTGGGCTATAATGAATTATACAGCCTCCTATGACGCTCGCCTAAGATGTTCAGTATCAGATCTATACTTTACACTATATGGAAATCAACGTCCTGCTTGTCTTCCTCTTCCTGAAGGGCTTTTGCTAGTTCGTGTTCGTGAAGGACGTTCTCTACTTAGGCTTTCCGAACAGAAATATGATGATAAAAACGAATCTTTCATAAATTCTGTCCCTAGTTGGAGTGGCGTCAGTACTAACGACTCATCGGATAATCGTGTGATTACTGAGGATCTTGATGAAGGTGAAGAATCGGATAGTGTGGATGATCTCTATCCTGAATGTGCAGCAATGAGCACTCATCATAGTGATCCCAGTGATTCGGAATTTTTTGCTACGGCAAACACTACCAGCTTCGGAAATGGCTTGACTGAAAGTAGCGTCATTGGACAGGCTGGAGATACTCGGCATGTTGATTCTATTGCAGAGAAAGATCCACGAAGGCGTCTCGCTCTCGATAGTGATAATCACGAAGAAGCAACGACATATGGAGAAAGTAAACGTCAAAAGAGGATGGAACGCCTTAGTGATGACGATGAAGACGAAGAAGACTATTCCTTTGGATGCAATTTCAAAATCTTTCATTGATTATTTTTTCAGATCATAATTGACCTCTTCTATTTTTTCAATATTTATAACGAAATCTTTATTTATTCATATTGTATAACTCTTGTTTTATACTAATTTATTTCTTATTTCCTTTACCTCATAATATGTGGGTTCGAAATTGGTCCACA